CCCCAGAATGAGAAACAACTTTAAATCATAATTATTGACGGATAAATAAACTTTTTACACGCTTTGGAAAATCTCAGAAGTTCGCGGTAGTCACTTTTCGGTAAGGAACTAAGGGACTCGGTTATTGTATCGAGCAGGGTTCGAAACGATCGCAAAGGCGGTATACTACGTATACGCGCCAAAAATGTTGGGCCCCTCCCCCCTAAGAGAGTGACAAAAATGTGACTCCCTAGAAGATGGTCCCCTTTAAAATAGAAACATTCCCAAAGTTTTGTTTTTCTATCTCTAACCGTTCAAAAGTTACGAGGAGGGGTACGGACTTTTGGGACACCCTGTATAGCCCATAACTTTTTTTTTCAGTGTATCACTGTCTTTGATAACACGGCAGAGATGTTATTACTTCGTAATTTCGTTTTCAGACATTCGAAGCCGAGAAAAACTTTGTTCTAAAAGTCGCCACCGATGACCCATGTGCTCTGTTGGACGTCAAGGCTGTGCGAACGGTGGAATATGGACTGAATTACGAAGCAGCAGACACGGCTTGCCGCCAGGCCTTTGATATACTCAACAACCTAAACCCGCATAACTACAGGTGCCGGGATGGTTACTATCCTGGCTGTCACCGGTTGACCAAGACGAGCAAGCAGCTTGGCTGTGCGGTCAAGACTAAATCCTACATGCCGGACCGCCTGATGGGATGCTTCTCGGAGTCCATCCAGTCCCTCGCTACGTGCTCCATACCACTTCGCGCAATGAGGAGACGGCGGAGCAAACGAAAAGCTGCCTTCTTTGCCTCGGCTTCCTCATCTGGTACTGAGAAAAGACTGCGACCAAGAGATTTGTAAAGTGGGGGACTTTCGTGATGGATCGTATTCGATATATTAAATAGGCGCTATATCGCTGATATTGTATCGGTATCGATTGGTTCAACATGTAAACATATGCCTCAAAAGTCAATCGAGTATTGCAGGAAGGGGGTTTTTGTGATTGACTTTTTATTCTTAGGTATCAGTACTACACAAGAATGAAAAGTGAAACTGACAGGAATTTCGTCTTCTTCAGCTAAAATTTTTTTGATCCACATCAGCTCAGGTGCCTTATAGCCAAAAGATGCTTTGAAGCCAAATAAATTCTATGTACTACCAAAATGTATTTATTTATTTATTCGACGTAATCAGTGCCGAAGTGTAGGATCAACGTGGGGAATAATTATTGCTCTTTTGTTGGAAGGTGTGCGTGATATGAAGTACGACACATTAGAAAGTTAGGTTACTGTTTTTGCTGACATTTTGATGTCTGTGATGAAGAGTGAGAGGATACCGTCGAGGTTCATATGGTTACGATGTTCAAATTCCAAAAATGCTGTCTTTTAAAAACTGTATGCATTTTATCGCTTTTCAATTATCACGATCGATAATCATACATGACTACTGAATTTGAAAGGACAAAATGTCCCATTTTCCTCTCTTTGACCTCCCATATTCTATGTCCCTCCTTGGTCCAGGTGCCTTACAGCCGACACTGAAAAAAAAAAAAAAAAAAAAAAAAACACATTGGATCTAGAGTCCAGAATCTTGAAAACATTGATAAGAAAAAATACTCTTGATTCAATCAGATTTTTGCTTAAATGAAAAGGAAATCCGCTCAAATTAAGAGATTATGTAGCATCGCGTCCATGATATTGGACTCCATGCTCACCCTTCATATACTTGCCTGCTCATCTCGTCCAAGATCTTGGACTCCATGCTCATCGCTAAACCTCTCACTTCTTTGCTTGATCATGGAGTCCAATAGCAAGTAGACCTTTCTTACTTTTAAAGTTCATCATGATAGAAAATAGTATACCTCTCTTTTCTAATCTAACTTGAACTAACCTAACCTAACCTAACCTAACTTAACCAAACCTGACCTAACCAATGCACAATATTTCACGAAAATACGTTTTTTCGTCTTTATTTCACAAAAATTGTCTTATTCAGTTTTTGGACCATATGCTCGTGTGTTGTCAGAGAATACCTACATCCCACAATTTTGGACGCTATGCTCACTTCGATTTTTCTAAAAAATCATCCCTAATTTAAGTGAGCATGGAGTCCAAGATCTTGGACGTGATGAGCAATCGAATGGTATATAGGTGATCATGGAGTCCAATATCATGGACGCGATGCTACATTACCAATTAAGAGGCTTGGTTCTTGATTTAAGCAAAAATCCGATTGAGTCAAGAGTACTTTTTCTTGTCGCTGTTTTTAAGAGTCTGGACTCAAGATCCAATGTGCGTTTTTTTCCAGTGAATAGTTGCTTTGGAGTCGAATTCACTTATGTACTATCACTACTATTTATTTTCAAAATAACATACGGTCGTTACAACGGTAATAGCCATTGCTACAATTCAGTATCATCATCATCATCATTATCATTGTCATTATCATTATCATCATCATCACAATGTATTATTCCGTGAGCCCTATTCTTTGGGTCAAAATTCAGCGGGCCGGGCCGATTCGGGCGCGGAAGGCACCGGCTTGACCGTTCCGGTCCCCCGATGGCTGGAAAAATAGAGGGTTCCTCCGCACATCTCGTTGGTCCCAGCGGGAGATGCACGATTTTTCGTTATTTTCGGGCGCTTTTTTTCGGTCAGCTGACAATTCGGCTGCCCGAGGCGTTTGTCGTCATGGAAATTGCCATGGATGATGGATTTACGGCGGAAGCGTACTTCAAAATTGTACGTAAATTAGTTACATTCACACAACGTGAAGTTCGGAAATTAACAAGATATAAACAAATCGATGACAAAAGTGCAAAGCCACGGATCTCCTTTCGCGACTTTGTAGGAACAGATTCCCTGCCATACTCAACGTAATTTATTTAAAAATATCTTCATTTTCCTTTTCCTTTGGCATACTATTCTATATATAATTCAAGCTATGAAGTTAGCTTCTTTCTCATTTTAAAAAATTGGAAAAAAGGTGAGTAAACAAGGAGCAGGAACAATTCCACAATCCTTCGACCCCAGGATTGCAGGCTCGCGGTTTGAACACCAATAGGCAACGAGCATATCGATCACTCGGTCTCGAGCTCGAGGGATCGAAAACAAAACTCCAGATTAACTCCTAACCGTGGTAATAATGATTTTTATGAATGAATTCAACATTTTCGCTCACGGAGAAAGAATAATTTACTCGAGTTAAATTGCACGCCAAACGTCCCTATGACAGTCTCAGTAATATGGAAATATGGCAACCTCAATCTTGAATCAGCTCAAGCTGTACACACCGAGTAGTCTGCTGAAGCTGTTGTAGGGCGGAATTTGACTCACGTAGAGTTTTGTTTTTCTTTTGACCGGGCAATTCAAAGTTCCCGTAACCAATGGACGATAATTTGATTATCTTAGCGAGATGTTGACTATAGTAGTTTTCGTTGCGCGAATCATAGATTACATGAAATTCTGGTGAAGAATCGTGTATCAGAGTGCTTAAATTTGTACCTTGTTGAATAGTCCATTCGACCTAAAACAGCGAACATACAGCACCATCCTAACTGTTCTCCCAAAAAAATAGTTTATCTGGAGAAACGAGGCAACATTGGAATGCTTATACGGCGTCGAAACACAATATGGGCCTTTCAAACCCCATCGTTCGATATCACGATCGTCATAACGCGAGTTCGAATAATCGCGCCGAACACGGTGCGTTCGGCGTCAAACTCATATCAGCGCCTGCAAGACTACTGGAATACTTCACGCATTGCGGCAAACAGTGTGGTCGGCGTCAAACACATATTAGCGCCTACAAGACTGCAGGAATACTTCACTTCTTGCGCCAAACAGTGCGGTCGGAGTCCTATACAAGACTGCATGAATACTTTCCGTATTTCACCAAACGCATAATACGAGAGTTATTTGTGATAGTTATTCAATTACGGGTATAGGGCACATTGCCACCAGCCGGATTGAAGGCGCATCACACTATGAAGATGACTCGACACTCGACCGCGCTCCCTTGCAATCCTCTGCGATGTTGGCAACGTAGCGATTTCAGTGGCAGGCGTTTCAGCATGCATCACACGATTTGATCCGCACGTATCGTATGCAGCACCGCATCTCGTCGCCCCACATTAATGATAAAATCCCTCCGTCACGATGAGTACCGGTTATTTCACGGCCAAGTTTGGTAGTCCGGTTACTATGGGTGCGCTGATCCGCGCCACAGAGAGTGGCCCCACACTAAAGCTAGAGTGAAAATGTCCGAGATTGTTGTCCCTACGGATTGTGCCGCCACGCAACAGCATTTTTTCTGATTCCAAAAACGCTTGTTTGCTGTTGATCTTCCTCACACAGTTGTGGGGGGAATCAACAGTTTATACGGTATTTTGTCACAAAAATGAGAAACAGCGTAATTGCTGTTGATTCCTCCCACACATGTGTTGGGGAGATCAACTATAACACTTGTAGAAATACCTCACAGAAATCTCCCCCACGACGCAGCTTAGACGCTCATGCATGCTCATTCATTGAGTTAACATCTGTTAAGTAAGGTTAGGTTAGGTTGGGTTGGTTTGGAGTAGGTTAGTTTAGGTAGCTAAGTTAGGTTTAGTTAGGTACCCAAGCTAACCTAGGTTAGCTTGGGTTAGGTAGGTTAGTTTACGGGAGTTTATATTACTTTAGGTTAGGTAAGGATAGGTTAGGTTAGGATAGGTCAGGTTAGTATAGGTTAGATTAGGCGAGGTCAGGTTAGGTTAGGTAAGTTAGTTAACGGGAGTTTAGATTACTTTAGGTTAGGTTTAGGTTATATTTCCTATTAAAATATACTGCGTCACGCGAATAACATGTGTTTATTTTTTCCCCGTTTTTGACGATCGAAAAAGTGTCTGGCTTCGCGAGCACAATTTTTACCTTTTATGAGCTTTCTGGATCCAAAATGTCTATACCTCGTATTATATGCTGAGGAAGGATTCTGAGACCAATGGTAATATAAATGATGAACCTTTAAAAAAATGAGGGTGCGATTAAGTATCAGAATCCCCGAGGGATCGCGTCTGAGCTCATTATACCCATCGCCTTACTTTGACGAAATCAATTTTCAATTTATCTGTTTGTTTTCAATTTTCCCTCTCCACCACGGACACTTTTCGTTTAATACCCTCCGGCAGTGCCGAATTTTGATCATTTCCAATATTGATTGGAAGTCGAAAGCATTGATTTTAATGGACCTCAACAGTGTGCAAGCATGTTTTTCTTGAAAAAGGATTTCGCTTTTTCTAGGCTATGTGCATTTTACACTGATGTTTCCGAGTAGATCGGTCAAATTTCAACTGATGAAGAATTAATTCGTTTCCATCAAAGGAGAAGAATAACACGTCTCTCATCCTCCCTGCGCTTTATTTTCCATTGCTCCATCGAGACAAAAGACTATAATTTTCAATAGATCGTTGAAAAAAGGACGTTTCGTGCTGTCAATGTTGGATCTGAGATTTCAGCATATTGGGATGTAAAACTAATTTGCGCAAAACGTGGCGAACAACATTCAACATTCAAAGGTGTTAAATTGAAATTAGTTCCCGTGTTTCGTCACTTTATTAGGCGAGGCTGAAGGGATAAGTCCAGAATGCTCAAAATCATTTCAAGGTATAACGAAACCACATGAATCGGTAATCTATCTGAAGTCTCCATATCTGAATGTTAGATGAATTTAGAACTTGGAAACGTTAAAAACTGAATTAAAATTGAGCTTGGCGACAAAGCTTTCTTCTCTGGCTTGGTGGTATAATTTTGCGAACCTCGTGGTGGGGTGGAGACAATGGAAATTTGGCGAAAAGATTCTTCTAATTATTGGGGCGTCTCTTCCCGTCGCGTCGTGGCGCAATTAGCGCTTCTTTGCGAGACGGTCAAAAATGACGGCAGATTGATGAAGTTCTGGAAAACAAATCACGGGCTCTAATTCTGTTAGCCGTTCCATCATCAATCCCTAAAATGCACTCACCATGTTGCCAACATAACTCGTTATCAGATAAAAATATATCGTAGGATGAACTAACATTAGGTTGTTTAATTTGACCCGATTAGTCCTCGTAAAACTTGGCTTCAGGAATGTGGAGGTTTTTTTCTGATATGCACTACGAGGTTTGGTTCATTGTACCG